TTAGAGGTTTTATTTGCACAAATTTGTAATCAAGACTTATGTTCATCCTTTCCTTAAGAATTATATGCTTGTGATTCAGTTAAAATTGAATGAGATCAGAGCTTGTTGAGATTGAATGAGATCATAGTTGGGGAAAAGAAGTCTACTGTTTTGCTTATGTCATGAAAAATGTCACGGCTGTGAAAATTCCAGAATGAACCGTGAGAACTGTTTAATGGAAGCTGTGTGTTTTGGGTGAATTTCAAATAGGTGTGGTAAACGGTTTACTGTTTTACCAAACCGGTAACCGGCGTTAAATGGTAAACCGTTTACCGGCGGTATTGGCGGCCGAGCAGGAAATTGGGAGATTCGGTTTACCGGACCCGGTATCGGTAAGTACCGACGGTAAGTCGGTAATACCGATACCGAACCCGCCTGCGCTGCATTTTGCTTGGCCCTCCCAAACCCTAGGAAAACCCCTAAACCCAGCGACCCAAGCACCCGGCCTCTCCTCTTTTCATTTTCATTTCGAGACCGCGCCGCACAGCCGCCTCTCCTCTTCTCGTCTTCGCCTCGCCTCTCCTTCACCTCTCCTTCTGCTGACAGACGACCCCGCCGCAGCACGGCGACGAGCGTCGAGCAACGGCGATGAGTTACTCGTGCGCTTCTCCTGAGGGCTGAGACCCTGACTCTCCCTTCCCTCACCGACGCGTGACGCCAGTCGCCAACCCTTTCCAGTCCTCCTCCGCCTCCTTGCGGCTTCCCCGTCGCCGCGAGGCCGCCATCTCCTCGCCTCCTCGCCGTCCTTGGAGTCTGGAGGTAGGAATGTGAATCATGTGGGTTGTGCCCTGTGTGTTTGATAATCAGAATTCAGATGTGATTATGTGAATGTGAGTGTTGTGTGTTTGAATTGTGATTGGCTGATTGCTGTGGGTTTGATAATCAGAGCAAGAAAGGAAGGGCATTTTGAATTGGTTTGTGCATTTTCAAGAGCAAAGGGCCGAGAGAGGGCAGCATACAACAAGCCAAGTAGCCAACAGAAGTCAGCATTCAACAATAGCAGCCAATTAGCCAAAATCTATCTATGTATGTTAATAAGTTAATTGAATTGTAGTTTCAAATTTGTATTGAATTGAATTGATGAGAATTGACTATTGATTATTTAGTAATTGATGATAAATTGTCAGTGAATTGAGGTTGATTGATTAATTGAATTGAGGTTGATTGAACTGAAATTGATGAGTAATTGTTGAATGGTTGTTTAGGAGGTTTATGTGTTCATTTTGTTGTTTTTTTGTAGGATGAAACATCCTGTTGGCAGCCGTGGAGGAGGTAGTAAGAAGAAAGCTAGTTCTCTACCTCCTCGAAGCTTTTCGAAAAAAAGGAAGGCTTCGACTAGTAGCACACCTTCCACTACTGCAAATCCACCTAAAGCTGTAGCAAATCCACCTCCTGCGACAAATCCTCCTCCATCTGCAGCAAATTCTCCTCCATCTGTTGAGGTACCTGGCGTACATAAGAAAATTGACAAGAGGAAGGGGAGGAAGTCAAAATCTAATTGGTGGATTCCTTACACCCATGAGTTGGTTGATGACTACCCATACGGCAAATGTAAAAAGTGTGGGAAGCTGATCAAAGCTCATTCAACCTTCAATGGGACTAGTGGTTTGAAGAGCCATCACCTAATGTGCGAGAGGAGGGCGAAGGAAGCTAGTGGTCAGTCTGTATTGAACTATCAACCTGGAAGTGCAGATGGTGAGGTAGGCTCTCTTACTCCATGGAAGTTTGATCAGAACAAATGTAGACATGCATTAGCTATGATGATAATCTTGGATGAGCTTCCGTTTAGATTTGTTGAGCAGAAGGGGTTTAGGAGATTTATGGCAAGAACTCATCCCTTGTTTGTGATACCTGGAAGGAAAACAATAAGATCTGATTGTTATGTCATTTTTCGGGAGAAGAAAGAAATATTGATTGAGTTTTTTAACTCAAAGTGCAAAGGAAGAATATCTATCACAATAGATACATGGACTAGTGATAACAACCAGAATTTTATGTGTGTGACTGCACATTTTATTGGAGATGATTGGAAGTTGCAGAAAAGGATTATTTGCTTTGTTCCCATTACTAGTCACACGGGGAAGGATATTGCAGATACTTTGGAGAAGTGCCTACAAGAATGGAAAGTGAAGAGTTTATTTTGCATGACAATGAATAATGCCAGTTCCAATGATGTTCTTGTTGAGTGCATGAGAACAAAAATGAAGAGGTGGGGAACAGATTTGCTAGATGGGAAGTATTTGCAGTACAGATGTGTGGCACATATCATCAATCTAGTTGTTTATGATGGATTGAAGAAAGTTGGAGTTGCTGTGGACAAGGTAAGGGATTGTGTGAAATGGGTGAAGTCATCCCCAGCTCGGAGTGCAAAGTTCAAGAAAGGGATCAGCTATCTAGATATCGATGGGAAAAGACTGTTGTCTTTGGATTTACCGACTAGGTGGAATTCCACCTATCTGATGTTGGATTCTACCGAGAGGTTTGAGCAGGTTTTTAAGTTCATGTATGCTAGTCCCACTGATTCTTCATTTCGGGACTATGTGGATTCCAAGAAGGGTCTTCCAACTGAAGATGATTGGAGCAGTATTAGGCGGCTCATGAAGTACCTGAAGTTCTTTTATGAGCTTACTCTTCGTGTATCAGGTATAGGAACTAATAACTATCAAATTTTAAAATTAAATTGAATGATTATGAGTTATGAGTTATATTATTTATACTAATGTTCGGTAAATTTTACTTTGTATCAGGAACATCATATGTCACTGCACATACTTTCTGCAAAGCCATTATGGATATTCATGAAGTGATAGCAACATTGAAGAAAGATGCAGATGGAAAGATACAAAGAATGGCAGAAAGAATAGAGGCAAAGGTGAGAAAATATTGGTTTGAGAATGATGTGATGACGAGGAGGATAACCTTAGGATAAATAGAATAGTTTACATGGCATGTGTGCTGGATCCCAGGCGTAAGCTAGACTATTTGACTATGATGTTGGAGGAAATGTATGGGACCACAAAAGGGGGAGATTTGGCAGATGAAGTAAAGAAGGAGATGATTTCATTGTACGATGTCTACAAGATTAAGTATGAAACTCCACCCTCTGTTTCTGTGCCTACTACCCAGACTACTACTCCTTTTGAGACTAGTGACGGATCTGTTGCTATGGGAGAAGCATTTGAGCTCGGTTCCTGCAGAAGAGAAAAGAGCAAATTGAGGGAGGGGGGTCGAGGTTGTGATGAGTTGGAGCAGTATTTGAGAGATGTTGGTGATGCTATTAATGAGGAGATTGATGATCGGAAGTTTGACATTCTGAAGTGGTGGGCTCGGAACAGTGTTAGATATCCCATTCTTTCAGAGATGGTTAGGGATATATTAGCAGTACCAGTCTCCTCTGTTGCATCGGAGTCCGCTTTCAGTTGTGGAGGTCGAGTTCTTAGTCCTTTCAGGTCTTCTCTAAGCCCAAACATTGTAGAGGCATTGATTTGTGCTGAAGATTGGATAAGATAAGATATGAAAGTGGAAGACTGCAGATGAACTGAATGATAAGGAAGAAGATCAAGAGACAATCGATTATGAAAGTGGTAAGAATTCAATTTATTATTCTAATTTGTCTATACTATTTACTATTTAAATTTTAAACCATTCCATTAGTAACATACTAACATTTTTTACTTTATTTGCACTAGTTACTAATACTTTCCAATCTCGAGTGGAAACTGCAAGTGACATCCCAAGTGGAGCACATGGATCTGTTGTTGGGGTTGATGAGGAGGAGGAGGAGGAGGAGGAAGAGGAGGGTGGTGATGAAGAATCGACCGAGTCCGACGAAGACATGAACCAAGATGCCGATGATGATCCCGATGATACTCTTCTCAGGACTTTGAAGAAGAAAGGTTGTGCAAATGTTGGTGGTGCTACAAGTTCTACCGGAGAAGGAGGAGCATGAGCTATTGGTTATTAACTTATTTGGATTTCTATTTTAATTTTTAAGTTTAGACATTATCATTGGGAACTTTAGTCGATTAAGAATGACGATTATGTATTTATGTTGATTGTTGACTTGTTGTCCCTTTGAATTTGACGATGTTTGTTGAATTGTCGTTTGATGAATTTGAATATTTGACGAATGATGATGCTTGATGAGAGTTGATGTTGACTCATGAATTATGGTTGTTGACCCTTTGAACTTATGTTAAATTAAATAGGTTAATAGATAGCAACTTTGAGTTTGAACTCAAATATTAAGTTAAGGCATTAACATATAACATATACTTCATTATTCACAAATATCTTTCTAAAAATCTTAAGTTGTACCTACACTTTCTAAAAATCTTTCTATGGTACAACCCAAACTTGTACCTATACTATGGTACAACTTTATATTGTATCTACACTTTCTCACAAATTCCTCTGTGGTACAACTAAAAATTGTACCTATACCTATGGTACAACTCTATGTTGTACCTACACTTTCTCACAAATCCCTCTAGGATACAACCTAAAATTGTACTTACACGCTATGTACAATTTTCAGTTGTACCTACACTTTGTGAAAAAAATTCTTCAATGATACAACTCAAATTTGTACATATACGCTATGGTACAACTACTACACTTGTATACATTGATTCATTATTAATAAGATTGCCATTAATGATGTGAGACCAGTCATTTAGTGGGTTTACCTCCCCCAACACGACACCTTTTTTTCTCTTTATAACATGGGTGCTATAGAGCACTCAAGAAGGGCTCAAAAGGAAATCACCATCATAAACACAAGGGTTATAGGTATAATATGCCTCTCTACTATAACGCTTTATCAAACATGCCCCTCTACTATTTTTTACATCAATCATGCTCCTGTACTTTGTAAAAATGATCAAACATGCCATTTTGTTAAAATTTTCATCTAAAAACCGTTAACCAAGGCCGAATTATAGTTTGTGCGACACAAATGACTAAAATATCCCTAATAAATTCACTTTATTTTTTTTTTGGTTCTTTTGTATAATCGAATCTAGAGCCTCATCATCATCATCATCATTTTCTGGTTTTGTCGAGCCGAGGTAAACGACAGATGATTTGTGGCCATCTTCAGCCTTTTCATTGTTGTGGTTGCCGGTTGGATCATGAATTGGCGGGTAGGAGATCTCACAGGTTGTCAAGTCGTATATCCGGACTTGGAAGATGGACTCCTCAACGTATTTGAAGGTGAGGAAATAGTGCAGCAAGAGAGAGTAGTTATCCATGAAACTTGCCCAACCTTGGTCGAGCCAGATGTCGTGAATCCTTGTTCCTCTGCCACTCGATATGCCAACGTTCCAAACGCTGCCGTTTGGTAAGTGGAGTTGAGCCATCCTCCCTCCCAATTGCCTACCGTATCTTCTCCCGAACTTCATTGGAAGCTTCTGCCAACTCGATCCAAATGGTGACAGTGTAAGAGGCAGTGAAGCAAGTGAAGTGAGTCACCGTGCATGTACAAAGGCATGAAAAAAATGGAACATATAGATACAGAGGAAAGAGGAAGGTGTATTGATTATTAGTCTTACGAGCTTCTTCTTCTCCATGACAACAGCTCCACAATTAAACTGTCAAAGAACCTAGTCCTCCATGGGAGGAGCAAGCATATAGACGTGAGATTGCAACTTTGTCAAGAACCCCCTAGCTCTTGGCGTTCAACTGACTAAAGCTGAAGATGGAGTCCTGGTTAATCCTACTGAGTACAAGTAATTAATTGGAAACTTACTTTATGTGACTGCTACCCGACCTGGCGTGATGTACGCAGTTCGTTTATTAAGCAGGTTCATGGAGAAACCAACAAGGCAACACCTACTTGCTGCAAAAAGAGTCCTAAGTTAACTTAAGGGAACTACGCAGCATGGATTATGGTTCAAGAAGAATAGTGAAGATGATGGCTTAATTGGCTATACAGATAGGGATTACGCAGGAGATCCAGAAGACAGGAAAAGTACGAGTGGTTATACGTTCTTCTTGGCTGTATCTGCAATCTCGTGGGCATCAAAGAAGTAGCCCGTTGTCACCCTCTCCATGACGGAGGCAGATTTCGTGGCAACATCCTTTTGTGCAGCTCAGTGCGTGTGGTTGAAGCGGATTCTAGAACAGATGGGGTAGAGTCAGAGTGTGAAGGGAGCTACAACAATCTTCTGCGACACCAGCTCCACAATTAAATTGTCAAAGAACCCAGTCCTCCATTGGAGGAGCAAGCATATAGGCGTGAGATCCCATTTCTTTAGGGATCTGGCTAAAGACGAAGTAATCGAGCTGGTGCACTGTGGGACTCGGTAACAGGTAGCGGACGTGATGACAAAGAATTTGAAACTCGACACCTTCGAGTTGATGAGGAGCAAGCTGGGCGTGGTTGAAGTGGCAAAAGGTTGAAGATGAAGTGTACTAAAGCCTGCTGACTGGCTTCAGTTCAGGGGAGGATATGTCAGCAGGTCTCAAATCCACGTCACCAGAGTATAGTAGATTTAATTAAAGTAGCCGTTGGCTACTAATCGCTACTGGACCGTTTTGGTCTTTTACCTTAGTAGTCACTTAGCTTGCAGTTTGAGTCAGTCGAGTCCTTTCGTGTTGTTAAAGAAGTGTAAATCATGAGAGTCAAGTCAGCAGCTTTGTTAGCTGCAGTAGTTAGTAAGTTAGCTGAATTCAAGGGTAGAGGGAGTTAAGGGGAATCAAGTAGTTAGTCGTAGACGAGATTATAGGACACTCGACGTATTTATATTGTTCTTCATCTATCAATAAAAGCTTTTCAGTTTGCCCCTTACAAAGTTCACATCGTCTTCCAGTCATTTTTTTTTCTTTCTTTTAGAGAGCAAGCAGAGTTTTCACTTTCTTCAAGCTTCAGTTTCTTATGTATGTTCTCCATCAAGAAGAGGGGCCTGGGGCCGTAATCAGGGAAAGAGGGTCAGCGGTGATATCTCTTTTCCAGGTTTCCTTCTTCCTCTTCCTTCCTGGCCGTGGAGAAATCCTGGCAGCAGGCATGCCGATACTTGCAAGGATTGGTCTGGTACTCAAGAGAAGAGAGGGAGCGAGAGAGGGGAGAGTTAGAGGAGAGAAATCACCCCTTTTTACTGGTTGGGGGTCCTTTTTGTTTCCCTGTGGGCTGAATAGCCAGAAAGCAGTCTTGTGATTTGAAACCTCTGTCGTGGGTGATGGTAACAGTCAAGAGAGAAAAAGTGGGGAGCTAGACTGACATGGGTAATGGGTGGCTTTAAAAAAGCGGTGAACCTCTGCCTCTTGCTCTTCTCACTGGTACACTGGTACTTGAGTGGAAAGCAGAAAAAATTTCTGGCCACTCATCTTACGCCCTCCAGAGTTCAGAGTGGTCGTAAATTGCATATATCGCCTTGGTTTGGGCGCTTCTTTTTTTTTTTTTTGGTTCTGGTGTTAGGTTTTACGTTTTGTTAGACAAAAAGACGGTGCAAATTCGAGAAGGGTGTAAATTGTAGAGGGGAGCAAATTTGATAGAGGTGCAATTGAGATGTAAATAGTTGTTTGGGAGAAAAAATAAGAAGGTGGAAAGTGGGGTGTATATTTAAGTGAGTATTAATTTATAATATTATATTATTAAAAATATAAATATTTAGAAAATTTGATTTCTTTCTCACTTATCCACTCTCTTTCCTCATTTACATCTGACAACTTTTTTTTCCTTCTCTGGATTTTCATCTTCCTCTCTGCATTTTTCTTCTCCGCCGCACGAGAACCCCTAACCACAAATCACACACATCTTCAATCAATGTTCAAGAACATCGACCAGAGATTGATGGCTGCAAATTGACGATGGGAAGAGATGGCGATTCTCTAGCCTTAGGTAACCAGAGCGTGGAGCGAGAGCGTGAGAGCGTCGAATTTCGAAGAACTTAACTTTGAGAGCGTGAATAGAGCGTCAATATTATATTAATTATTAATTATATTCTAATGAGAGTTTAATAATTTAATATATATTTTCCTATCCCCTTAGACCTTATCCCACATGCAGATCTGCACTTTTTTTCTTTCTGATTCCCTATTTTCTTCCACTCCTTCTCTCCCATCTATCTCCAGAAAAGTAAAGAAGACAGAAATCAAAATTAACCCAGAAACAAGCCCTCGTGTCATCCCCATCCTTGAAACCCCTTCTGACCTCCCGCTTCCCTCCGCTCCCTTTAATGTCGCCGCCGGCACCGTCGTCCCTTCCCTCCGTCAGGGGCAATTTCCCCCACTGGTTTCGTGCTTTCGTTTTCCTCTTGCTGCATCCCAATTCTCCTCTTCTCTTTTCATAACTTATCAGTGCAACCAGGAGCAGAGTTTGTCAACCTCCGCCTCCCCCTGTCCTTCTTGACCCACCAACAACGATTGTAAGTCGGGAAGCAACTGCAGATCTGACGAAGTCGTTTTTTTGCTTTAGCGAGCACTTGTGTTTGCTTTTCACTTATTTTCCTCTTCGGTAATTTGGGATTGGATTCAACCATTCTGAATCAATATGCTTCTCTCCCCCTCATGAAAGGAGGGGACATTTCTTTGTTGGACGCAGGAGATGAGGGATTCACGATCTTTGATCAGGAAATTCGCGCTCTATAAAATTTCAATTCGCGAATTACCTACGCTCTCCTTTAAATTCGCGGTTTTGCGCTCTGGAGCGGGAGCTTCACCCCAAATAAGACGAATTAGGTTACATAACTCTAGCCGACTTCACTGTTCTCCTTTCCTTCGATATCTAATTCCCGCTAACGATAATGAATCCCACCGGATTTTGCTCACTCTGTCGTCGCGCCGAGGAAGACAGCAAATTTGGCGGCCAACTCCGGTGATTCAAGGAAAGGACTTGGGAGGTCAATTAAACCGAAAAATGCAAGGAAAGGACTTGGGAGGTCAATTAAACCGAAAATGCACCGATCAAGGCGAGATTCGTCCTGCATGCTTGTTTTCTTTTGATTTTCTTCAATGTTCTTAATTTCGACCTATTTTTTTCATCTAGGTTTTCTGGTTTTTATTTTCGAGGAGGGAGCCGCCGCCGCAAAGAGAAAGATGGGCTTTAATACTCCCGCCGTGCAGCAGACTCCACCGAAACTTTGCATGCAGTCCCTGCTCAAGGGAATCCCCTTCGTCGATGATCAATCCTCACCGGATTTCTCTCTTCCTGCCACCGCGACGATATGGGATTCTACTAACCACATTTATTTCTCCTTTTTTTGTCGATAATTGATTTAGCTCTCCTTTTCTCTCTCCACTTCCGCCCCGGTATGGGTCCTTGCCAAAATAGTAAAAATGCCCATGTTTTTCCCACCCTACTCCTGTTCATACATATCCAAACGAGTGTAACTTTCTCGGGATCTTAATTTGTCCCCCCTCCCATTTATGCCAGCCTTCCAAACAAAGTGTTAGTGATTCTTAACGCCTCGGTGATTTTGTACGTGCTCTTTTATTCTACCCAGATTTCACTTGATGGGATGCGTGTGGAAAGATGACGGATATGTTGTTGCTAATGATGTTGTGATGGAAGGGAACTCAAAAGCGGTTTCGTGAGGATCTTGGGAAAAAATCCCAAAATACACATGTAATTAAAAAAATTCTCAAAATACAAAAGTTATAAAATTTTTTCCCAATTTACACATGTTTGACATTCACCGCCGTTGTCAAACGCAGTGAAGCTATCCCCGCGTTCAACAAAAGCAGTGAAATTATCACCTTTTTATCCCTGCTTGAGAAAACAACGGTGAAGTGTTCCCTGCCTTTGTTAAAAACAGTCAAATAATCATCGTCTTTATAGAGAGCGTGGAACACTTCACCACTGTCGTCCAAAGCGGTCAATCCTTCACCGCGCTAGGTTACAGCGGTGAACAATTGCCACGTTTCCCACCCCTTGTAGGTGAATAATTAGGTCACACCTACCTAACCTTCACCACCTTAGGGCAACGCGGTGAATGCCTTCTCCACTTTGAACAACGGCGGTGAATGCACCCAGTTTGTCACCACGTAGCTGTTGGAAAAATACTTTCCCCGACTTCTGCGTAGCGTCCCCAATTTCTGTCAAATTTAAGCAAAAATCCCATTCTCTGCCTGCTTCCAGCAACTACAGTTAAAAAAGCTCCAATTTTTCGGTATAATATAATTTCGTATTGTTTAGATTTTGATTGTTTAGTAGTTATATGTATGTATTTAATGAATTACTAGTAGTGGCAAATTTAAATAGTTAGAGATATTTAGATTAATTATGTTATGATTGATGTTAGTTAGTAGGGATGGCAATCAAACCCATGCCCACGCGTATCCGACCGACCACGACCCAGTCAACGCGGGAAATCCCCGCATTGATCGGGTATGGGGCAGGTATGGGTAAAACCCACAAAAAGTTTGATGGGTTTGGGGCGGGTATGGTTTTAGCCTCCCCCGCCCCATCAAAGTTATTTCTTCATAAATGAAAAATATGTGAATTAATTTGTAACCTATCAATAATAGTGAGTATACCTCTTGTAAAGTATATAGTAGAAATACAATTGAGTGGCCACCCAAAGCAAAATCTAATTTCTTTCTCTCAATTTTCCCTTCACTCTTTCACTTTTTTCCCTTTTTAAGAAGATTATGTTAGTTAATTAGTACTTTATAGATGTATCAGAGTAGAGAATAATGATTTGGATGACATTGTACTCTATTCTGATATGGATTAATGGATGTTTTAGGATAAGATGCTTTCAATCATATTAAAAATGATTGTCTCTTTGTCGACTTCATGATATAGTATGTGCGTTTAATGTTACAATTGAAAATCTACATGTAAAATATTTGGTATTATAATGATGGATGTACGGGGCGGGTATTACCCATGGATACCCAAAACCTATGGGTATGGGGATGGGTTTGCAAAATCTTCCCCCACAAGGGTGTGGGGCGGGTGTGGGTATAAATATTTGAAAGCGGGGATGGGGATGGTTTAGGCAAACCCGCCCCATTGCCATCCCTATTAGTTAGTTGTGAATTTAGATGAATTTGTTTACTATACTTACAATATTGCAATGCTAATTTTGGTTCATATTTCGATTACTTAGTTGTGTTTGTTTATGAGTTTGGATGATATTATTTTCGTAGCCCTAAAAATATGGTTTTGGTTAATGTTTCTATAGGCCCAAGTGCTAATCATACTATACTAATTTTATTCGGCTTAAGCTAATAGTTACTTATTATAAATTGCAGATATGGGTAAATTCATGAAGTTTCAGCTTCTTATTCGGTGGAATGGTGAGGTGACAAACTAAGACATTGGGATCGATTATGAAGACGGTGAATCCACTATGTTGAAAATTGAGTCGAGATTCACGTGGCAAGAACTCCGTGACATTTATGCATATAGGATTTGTATGGGTGGATAGACTAGAGTTGGTAAAATTACCTACTGCTATCCAGACATGAGTGCTAGCGGGGTTATGTACGAATCCTTTGTCATAAAAACGATGATGACGCGGTTACCATGTGTTTCTTGCTGGGATAAATACTTCGTATCTATTGGCCCATAATGGATATAAAATCGAGGATCGTATATCTTGGCACCCATCTATAAAAAAAATTTATTAATGAAATCAGATTATTTCGGTTACAAAAAAATAAATTACAAAAGGAATACCAAGAACGTACCTGAAGAGCCTCTTCGTCCATATTTTGGTGGAAGCCTGACAGAGGTTCGACGGGTTTCTAGTGGGGAGGGCTTAAGGATATAACTCTAGGAATTCTTTCTGATGTGGAAGATCGGTCTTAACCGCAACCACAGAGCATACTTAAAACGAAACTAGAATGGAGTAATGGAGGGAGAAAGAAGAGTAGTGTGGTGGTGTGATTTGGAATATGGGAGAAGGGTAGTATTTATAAGGGAAGGGGACTGCTAGAAACAAACACAGCTCAATCACCGTGTTCTTCTAATGTAGGGAAGACACAACATTTCTCGAACGCGGTGAACGACTCAGATCGCTGATGTGGGAGATTGTGAGGCGTCGGATCTGGGAGGAAAACGAGAATCAGCGCCTCAATGCATCCGACGTCAACGGTGAAGGGGCAAGGTGATACAGATCGCTGACATGGAAAGCAGGACATTCCCCGCGTTCGTCCATGGCAGTGAATACCCCGCGTTCGTCCACGTCAGCGATCTGCGTTCCCCAACCCTTCACTGCAACCGTCTGATGCGGTGAAATATTCCCTGTTGTAAACGAACGCGGTGAATTCTTCCCCGCGTTTTATTAAAATGGTGATGCATTCACCGTTTTTGTTTAAAGCGGTGATTGCTTCACCGTTGTTGTCTTCGGTGGTGATTATATTCATTGCGTTAGATGGCGGCGGTGAATGTCAAACATGTGTACTTTTTGAATATTTTCTCTTACGTGTTTTGGTAATTTTTTCAACAACTAGTGTATTTTGGGATTTTTTTCTAGGATCTTGCTCCTTTTTTCAGATATGCGAAGCTGAGGGTGAGTAGATCAGGTTTCAAACAGACTTTTGCATTGGCAGTTGATCCCTGGTTGTCACTATACTGTGTTTGTAAATCATCTAAATAATCTCTTTTGATTTTGCATTTTTTTTCTTACAAGAACCTGTGATAACATATCGAAAATCAATTTTCCAACGATCATCTTTTCTGCGACGATGTTTCGAGTCAAGAGGGAGTTCTTCGTTGCTGCGACGACGTTTGGACTCAAGAAGAAGGAAAACAATCCTTTCTAGCAAAACTAAATTAGAGGCTTGGAAAAGCTTGCAGACAAGATATGGATCTGGTGATCTCATCCGGATAGCTGAGCTCGAGGAAGATTTTTCTTCTCTTCAACAAGGTAACCAAACTTTTACTTAGTACTATGGTAGAGTCTTCACTCTTAAGGTTGAATTACAGAATTATCAGCCTTTGTTACCATGTACTTACATCCCCACAAGTCACTATGATTGTGTTGCCATGTTAAGAGTTCTGCAATACCAAGAGACCAGCCATGTTATCAAGTTCCTATGTGGTCTTAATTAAAATTTCTCTGGAGTCAGAGCTCGGCTGCTGTTTGGTGATGAACTTCCCAATATAAACAAAGTTTTTCGGGAATGCTTTAACATTAAAGACAAATCTATGTAACTCCATCTAGTAGGATGGTTGCCTATGTGCACAACGATACCTCAGCCTTTTCTTTTCAAGGCGCAAACAGGAGGTCTAACCTCAGTTCCAAACCTCCTTGTTGCACATTCTGCAAAAGGGAAGGTCATACTAAGGACATTTGTTTACAGAAGATTGGATGGCCTCCTAGACTTTCCCAGTCATCTTCTCCCTCTATTGGAACCACGATCACTTGTACTTACTACAGAATGAGGGCCATACTGAACATAAGTGCTTCCTAGGAACAAATTTGTTCCTAGGAATCAGAATCCTGGCATAGGGTGAGGCAAACCTGCTGCTAATGCTATCAGCTCCACTTCTCCATCTGATGAAGCAAGCTCACCATATCAGATTATGAAAAGATGATGAGCTTAATGAATTCACATGAGAACCAACCTTCTTTCTATGTTTCTCCTTGTGTTACCAACACTCGTAACCAATCTGATCCTTATTCTCCATTGTCTATATTGAATGCCTTTTCCTCCCACTAGTCCACTTGGATTGTTGACACTGGAGCTTCATATCACATTGTCTACTCATTGAGCTACCTCAAAGATCCAAAACCTTTAACCAATGTCTTCATAACTTTCCAACTGGAGAGCATATACAAGCAACTCACTATGGCACAACAATTTGCTGTGATGACTTGATCTTGCATAATGCCTTATTTGTTCCTCATTTCACCTTCAACCTTCTCTCTGTGAGCCGACTCACTTCCATCAGTCCTCTAAGCTTATCTTTTCACTCTACCCTGTCTTATATAGGATCTGGAGAAAAAGAGAGTGATAGGTTCTGCTAGGCTTCACCATGGTCTCTATTACCTACAAGCACTTTCCGATGCATTACGAAGTCGTTTGTATGAGGTATTCAAATGAGTTATTTTAGCCGAAATAACTCGTTTGGGTGGGAAATAATAAGATGAGTTATTTGATCATGAGTTATTTACAAATAAATCATAAATGCGGTATTTAGAATCTCACATGGGAAGGAGTTATTCATAAATAACGCGTTTTGGGTTCTTTTTTGTTCCAGTTCTGTCCCTGCTTATTTTCCGAAAAACCCACTCTGTCCTTGCTTGCATCATATTGAGATAGACTCCCCTTTTCCTTCTTTCTTCTCATTCTGCTTGCTCTCGTCTCTCTGTGCTGGCAATCCGCAAATGAGTGAACAAATCAATCGCTGGTGTCGTCGACCTGCTATTAGCACAAGGAAGCTGCCGGAGATAGATAATTGTCTACTAGGGTCGGTGAGTGAGTCTTCTTCTCTATTTCTCGTATGGTGTTCTTCTCCCTCTCCTGCCATGTTCCACAAAGGTATTTTCAATTTAGGGGAAAAAGGGTATAAATGTGATGCTTCTGATAGTGGCTCAGATGATGATGAAGACCCTTCGATCTTTATGGATGGTATGGTCCCTCCTGCAACAGATGAAGACATGTTTAATATCATAAATGAGGGGGTGGCAGAGAAGAATCAGAACCAGAAGAAGAGACCATCCAAGACAACCCATGGTGGATCATCAAAGAAGAAGAAAGGTCCAGCTGCACCATCCGATGAACATGCCCCTGAAATCTCATCTGAAATGGCACTCAAGAAGAAGGAGTTCGTTGCACTGCCATTTTCCATGCTGAAGACTTAATCGATGCGATACCATTTTCCACCTTCATTTTACCTATACTTTTTTTGCACCAAGATAGGGATGTTTCCTTTCCAAGCTACCAAACAAATGTGTAATGGAGTTTTCTCCTTTCTTCTTTGTCTGCCTATAAGAAGCAGAAAAGCTAATGAGCAACTCAAGTTCGACGGTTTTTCCCATTCTCAAACATCTTCTTTGTTATGTGATGCAGATTGCTGGTGTTAATGGATCCATAGTCGTACAATGAGAGTGTTCAGTTGCAGCCAGAGATTCACAGGTTCCGTTCTGGTATATGGTGATATCAACTATGAGGTTTAGGCACAAGTAGAACACTTCATATTTTTGCTTCACATTAAAGTAGAGTAACAATACTTTAAGCTCTTCCTCTGTTGCTCATTTTCATGATATAAACAGAGCTTTATTTCCTTTATTCCCAAAAAATAATTGTTGTTATTTTCATAGAAAGGATATAGTCGTTAATAATGTTTATAGAATCAGTTGTTTCAATAATTCGAGCCATTAGTATGATTATACATTCGTACGTTATAATTACGGGTCATGAGTGTCGAAAGTTAATTCAAAATTATTTTCAATCCAAATATACATAAAATGATCTATATTAGAATGCAATCATACATGCGGTGCAGTCTAAACCGCACCAAATCGTCCAACTATGAGGTTTGGCTTGACCGCACCGATTATATTGCGGTCGAAGATGCGGTGCGGTCCAATTAACATGCAGTGCAGTGTAATTTGTGTCAATGCGGAGCGGTGTGGTCCTACCACACCACTTGCCCACCCCTAGTTAAATCCCCTATAATACCAAGACGCTTTGCTTGGGTTCATTTTGAATCTTATTCACATTGAATTTCCTCTTTTGTAATGCATCTAATCTCTAGATGTTCAATGTGACCACACAGTTTATAATCAGTTTGTGTACTGGCATGCATTTGAGTCAATAAATATAAGTATTTAAATTCTAAAATGAAAAGAATTTGTATTATAATTATAGTTTTGTTGTGTAAACTTTATTTTTTCCCCCAATGATGCTAGAATCTCGGTGCGTAGTGCGAGCATTGAAAACTAGTTAAGAGTATAATAGCTCAAAACAACTGGTACTGTACATTCAGATATAGATTACTATTCAACTGACACCTCACTGTGCAGTTCTCCCTGTGAAGCCGATGGTTTCTAACCGAGTTACATGGGAGAAAGTTGTTTAGTTTGGTTCAGTGGTACGCGCATTGGTCGCCGAAACCTTTGCATAGACTGGGATTCGATGATGTAGACTAGGAGTTCATTTGCGTCTGGAAAATGTAAGTGGGAATGGGACGAGGCCGAGAGAAACCAAAAAAATTGAAGGTAGGTGTGGTGAGGCATTTTTGGGCATACTTCATTTAGTTTGGCTAAGTGGTATGCGCATTGGTCACCGAGACCCTTGGATAGACTGGGATTTGGTGATGTAGACTAGGTGTTCTTTTTGCATTTGGAAAGCGTAAATGAGAGGACTGGACGACGCTGAGAGAGAAACCATAAAAATTGACGGCTTGTCAGGTGAGGCGTTTTTGGACTTACTTTTACTATTTACATGACAATAGATGGGACCTCTGGTTGGCTGTCCAACTGGTCATTCTGGATTGTTTTGTGTGGTCATGGAAGCTCCGCGTTGGTCACCAAGTATCTAGAAAGCCTCAAGTGTCATAGGACAATGACGGGGGGTCTTGGGAACCGTGCTTTCAATACAGAGAGACTGAAGGGAAGGGACATGAGAGAGGCGTGAGGAGGCTGGAACTGAGGCAAGAAAAGAGAGAGAACAGTTGGTGTGTAGATGGTGATTAACAGAGTGACTTGAGGAGATTGGGGGTGACTCAAGAAAACAGTCAGGGACAATGATATTTTCCCTCTTTGCTCGGTGGATAAAATATCATGTAACTTCCCAATGCTTAACAGAAGTGAATGTCAATACCTCTCTCTCTCTCTCTCTCTCTTTTTTCATATTCTCTATCTGCTTTCTCTGAAATAATTGGCATCGAACCACTATTAGTTACCCAACAGCAATTATGATTATCCGAGAATCCAACTGGAGATCCCGATAAGGAGCACAGACGAAGATCTCAAGCTGCAAAATGCCTCTCTCGCAATCATTGGTCCAATGTGCCTTTGTTTTCTCTTATCATTTATGCCCGAGAGGGGGAATTTGAAACAAAACTGAGATACAAAGGTTGATTGTTGCGTTGTTGTTGAAGATTATGTTTCTACCTACTATCTTAAGGCGATAAAGAGAATGCCAAGAGGATTTGTGGGTTCTGTGTTAGCTTCCGATATTATTTCTTTCTTGTCCCTATTGAGATGTTTTTGTTGTGTATTGTTTGGAGGGTTCACGAAACTGAAATTCTATATTGTTTTATGGGTTTTTGTTTATGAAATATGTTTTCCCAGGACGAGAAACTCGCCATCTTAACTGAAAGGAGCGTTTGAAACTGCCAAAACCAACGACGTCCACCACCACTATTCATCCCTTCACTATCATTCATAGTTGGATCAATCCCCATCGTCGTTGTCCCATCATTGACCAGGTCGGAGGCACAATATTGGCCTCTAAATCCATGTGTGTATATTGTTATGTCTTTGTGTTATGTTTAGTTTTCTCTTTATCTGCAATCTTCTGTCCCGCCAATTTTACCTTTTTTCTTCCATCTACCATCCATACAACTATTGTACTTTAGGTTTCTTAGCAAATTTGAAAAGGTTCAAAGAGGGTTTGTAGAAGCGGTGGATAGGGTTTGAAACGGTTGACTTGATGTTTCCCATTCGTAGGAGAACTGATGTTGCCTAGGTTGTGGCTGCTTTAGAGGGTGTGTCCTGACTTTACATATATCTTCCTTAATTTTTGTTTTGTTATCGATGAGCTTCGAATTTGAGTTGTGTTCTTTCCTTTTTTTAGCTAGTTTTTGAATTTTTTCCAGAAATAGCACTGTTGAAAAAACAATTCCAAAAATAGCACCCAAGCACGAAAAATTCCAAAAATAGCACCCTTTCCCAAAAACCGCCACCTGACCCAACGATTTACAGGAAAACAGCAAGGTGGGGGCACGGTTTTCAATGAAAACCGCATGGGTAGGGGGCGTTTTCATGACCGCCTGTGGTCGAACCGGATTGGCCCAAAACCGCTGCCCCAACCAGCGGTTTGGTCCATAAATGTTTTTTTGAAAAATCCTAACCTAGGTGGAATTTTTTGTTAGGGTATCCAATCGTAGCGAATTTTTTTTTTATTTCGCATAAAATTTTGAGATCTTGCAAGCCGCAAACAGCAATAGGTGGTTTGGTCCCGCCTTCGTCCCAAAAAACGGGAAGTTAAGTTATTCCCAAAACCCTGTATATCCAAAAATAATTTCTGTTTTGAAAATTCATTCCTATTAAAAATTGTAGTCCTTAAAAAGTTATATGCAAAATGAAAAAAAAAATCATGACATTCGGATTTGGGAGCACAAAGTTATGGTTGTTCAAAGTTATTGAGGATTTTTAGCGTTCGAGGAATAAAAATTTGTTAATATATTATTGTTTCAAAAGAAGAGTTTTAGTTTGGCGGTGTAGATATTGTGCTAAATTTAGTTAACTATTTATTGTATCTGGGTTTGAACCACCATCCTCCCAACATGCTGCTTTTTTTAATCTCTACTAAATGAAAAGACTAAATAAGGGATGATGGCTCTTTGAAAAGGCCAACTGTCCCGCCTGCATCAGAACAAGATCTATCCAAGTGGCTACAAAATGATGCTCGGGTTCGTTCCTGGATCATGAAGTCTGTCGACCCTAGTATCGTATTGGGTCTCCGTTTGCTACCCAGCGTTGCTGCTATATGGAAGTCTCTCCCCGACACTTACTCAGAGACCAGTGTTGCTTGTCAGTTCGAGCTCGAGGTCGAGCTGGAAAATCTCCACCAAGGTAATCTCGATGTTGCCTCGTATTTTAATGCCGCTCGGCTCTTGTGGACTGAACAAGATATGTTATCTGTTGCATAACTCACCACTCCTGTGTCGGCAGAAATGCAATCCGAGAGAAACAAGATTCGCCTTTTACAGTTTTTATCCAAGCTAAAACCTGAGTTTGAGACCGTCCGTGCCACACTGCAGAATCGAGAGAGTCACTATTGAAGGGGTGCTTAGATATCTGGTCCGCGAAGAAACAAGTTTACGTAAGTAGGCCTTGATTGATGCGCGTCCTGGTACGCGTGAGGCCACCATTTTTGCCGTTGTCGTCGTGGTGTCAGTCACGGCGACCGTGGCAATCGCCATGAGATGTCTCAGTCGACTCCACTTGAAGGAAGACACTACGTTGGTGCTTCTCCAAACCAAGATGATCAGGTGTTTGCGGCATATTGTCCTCCTCAACAACACCCTGATATTGAGTGCCATCACTGTCGGGCCAAGGGTCACACACAAAAATATTGTCGTACGTAATTTTTGTGTGTATTGTAAGAAAACAGGGGCATATAATACCTGATTGCAAGGCGCTCCAAGTTAGGATGAGTAGTATTGATGGCGATGGTGCATCGTCCTCCCGAACAGATTATGCTACGCAAGTCACTCCTCCACACAGTTGTCACCACCGCAACCTTGGAGCAGCTTATCTCGAAGGCGATCGCTTCTACCTTTTCCAGTCTTCAAGTATCGGGTAAGCTACACATAGAATCTATGTGTTTTAATCATATGACAAGCAATACCTCGATTATTTCCGATACTCGTCCTATCTCGGATCTTTCACTTCAAGTTGCAGATGTGAATATATTACAGGTTGCGAGCATTGCATAGTAAAAGGCTCAAATGTGACTCTCCCTATTACTCTTCATGTGCCGAAAATTGTTCCCAACTTAGTTTTTGTTGATCAATTAACTGATCATTGCTGTCGTGTCATCTTCGCACACTCTGGCTGTCTTGTGCAGGATCTGAAGAAGGGGCGGGAGCTAGGACGGGGGGGTAATTACCCTGGGTTGATTTACTGTT